GGCTACCAAAATCTGAAGAGTACCTGCCCGAAGGGCTACCAGGGATTTTGAAATTTTGCGAGCCCTGCAATAGGTAACTTAATTATTCAAATCGTTAATTACATCTAAAAATTCCTATAAACCTTAAAGCATAGACAATAGAAATTAAACTCTTTATTCTTTCGATTTGAGTTAAATATGAAATAGTTTAGCCTTTTAGTTTTAAAACAACTGTAATACGTAAACATTTTAATAAAAAATTTAACCTTTGGTTAATAAATAGAATTACTTACAGCTTGATAAATATTACATGTATCAAGCTGTAAGCATTAAACTTTTCAAAGCAATGAGTACCATATTTCATACACACTGACATACTGTACATGTATTGGCAGTCACTAATAATAATTTTACCTACTCCTAACAAAAAAACATTTTGTACTGTCATTCATGCACATGTGCTTTGTATTACCACACAGTACATAAATAATATTCCGAAATTTTATAAACTAAATTCTTATTGCTTAGCACATTATAAGCATCAACATGCGATAATAGATCAATAAACACTGATCTAAACATTCCTAAACTGTAACATTCATCACGTGCTTTATATCCATTGTATTATACATCATATTTTTAATATAGGATAGCAAAAAAAAATTACATCCTCGTTTCGTATGACATTTAGGCTAAATGCAATAAAAAAAGTTGCCTAAATGTCTGAATGTATGTCATATTTTCAGCATATTCCACTCATTTGCTCACATTTCAGTTGTTTAGGAAAAGCTCAACTAGTACAATCTATACAAGTTTATGCTGCTTTCTTTCCTTTTCCGTGAACTTGTTTGTGGTGGAGAGAGCGTTGCAAAAATAAATCTAAACTCAGCATATAGGCTACTGCTTGTCACACAATTTAGTTTATTTTGTTTTGTTAATCTGTTAATTGAGTAAAATATATTTCATGTATTTATTTCATGTATTTTTGTGATTTGTGCATAAAGTCCATTTACAGAATGTCTTTTTGTTAAAGACTGTTAGTCATTATCAGCGCTTCAGCACAGGTGGACATTGAACATCCCACAATACCTGAGGATCCACTATAAAGACATAAAAAGTTTTAAATACGTTAAATGGTATAAGAAATGTCTTAATTATAATTTCAAGAGGTCTTACGGTTGGGGACGGAAAGACAAGAAGTCGCGATACGGCTGGATTAAACTTCAAAAGGTAATGATGCCATTGAATAAATATGAGCGCTGCACGTTTCAAATCAAAACGCGGCATGGATGTCTTTATTTGAATGTATCTGAAGGGAACCGACTGTCCTCAGAAACGTGTGGTTGGCATTTTAATTTAATTTAACCTATAATTCCTGATAAAGCAGCGTTTATGAGCGCGGACCTGCTTTGTGTACAGCCGTTACCGGGGAAACCGCAATATTTCAGTGCTCCTAAAGCGCCACCTCGTGGCAGAGAATAAATTTGCATTTCCAATAAGCCTTTCTTGCTGTTTATGGTCAGATGATCAATGCAAATATCAAATAATGTTTTTACCTTTTTACGCAGCAAACACAGTTGTAAATGAGAAAGAAGTTAATGTGCCTTCTAAAAATCTAAACAATTAAGACAGTAATATTTAATTAGTTAAAATCCCTATAAACGTTAAAGTTAAACGTTAAACTCTTTATTCTTTCAATTTGAGTCAAACGTGGAATCTTAGTTTTCCATCTTAGTTTTAAAACAAATGTAATACTTAAACATTTTAACAAAAAATGTAACCTTCGGTTAACAAAATATCTGAATAATAAAAAAGCTCAAGAAAAGTTCAACATTGCATGTATCAAGCTGTAAGCATTACATTTTTCAAAGCAATGAGTACCATATTTCATACACACTGACATACTGTACATGTATTGGCAGTCACTAATACTAATTTTACGTACTCCTAACAAAAAACAACAGCATGATTTTGTACTATCATTCATGCACATATGCGTTGTATTACCACACAGTACATAAACAACATTCTGATATTTTATAAACTAAATTATTTTTGCTTAGCACATTATAAACACCGTCATGGAAACCGCAATTTTTCAGCACTCCTAAAGCGCCACCTCGGGGCAGAGAATGAATTTGCATTTCCAATAAGACTTTCTTTGTGATTATGGTCAGATCAAAGCAAATATCAACTCATGTTTTTACGCAGCAAACCCATAGAGTTGTAAAAGAGAAAGAAGTTAATGTGCCTTCTAAAAATCTGAACAATTAATACAGTAATATTTATACGTTTTAAATTGACATAATTTATATGCTTGATTTATCCCTTTTCATAAAAATGGTATAAAGGTTTAAATATGAAATAGTTTAGCCTTTTAGTTTTAAAACAACTGTAATACGTAAACATTTTAATAAAAAATTTAACCTTTGGTTAATAAATAGAATTACTTACAGCTTGATAAATATTACATGTATCAAGCTGTAAGCATTAAACTTTTCAAAGCAATGAGTACCATATTTCATACACACTGACATACTGTACATGTATTGGCAGTCACTAATACTAATTTTACGTACTCCTAACAAAAAACAACAGCATGATTTTGTACTATCATTCATGCACATATGCGTTGTATTACCACACAGTACATAAACAACATTCTGATATTTTATAAACTAAATTATTTTTGCTTAGCACATTATAAACACCGTCATCTGAAAGTAGATCTAAACATTTCTAGACTGTAACATTCATCATGCTGCAGTGTAAACATACACATTATATCTGTATTGTATTATATAAATCATATTTTTATTATATGATAGCAAAAAAAATTACATCCTTGTTTCATACGACATTTAGCCTATATGTAATAAGTTGCCTATATATATATCTGAATGTATATCATATTTCAGCATATTGCACTCGCTTGCACATATTTCAGTTTGGCAAGATGTTTAGGAAAAGCCCAACTAGTAAAATCCGTATAAGTTTATGTAAAAAATAACACGTTAACTAATGTAAGAAAGAATAAATTACAGAAATGATCCCCTCTGCTAAATAAAGCCGCGTCAGATCGTGCTGTTCTTCTGAGGTGCATGCCGGCTTATTCCTCATAGCAGGTCTTCTTCCAAAAACAATGAAAAGTAGATGAATCTTGATTTTTTATTTTTTTTTTATATATATATCTAGGGGATGAGGGCATTTGCGTGCAGGTATGGCTGCAGATAATGAGCTCAGAGAAGGGAAAGACTGTTCCCCGTTTTAGTTTCATACAGATTACATAATCAGAGAATATTCGTTTTCTATTTGAATTGGTTCATTTAAAAGTAGACACTTCAAGTTTTCTATAGACGTATCTCTCATGTCTGTGTGTGAAGTATTCGCTGAGTTTCGGTTCATTTTTGTGACGCGTTTCAGAAAGAAGTTCACGGAGACCGAGACGGCAGAAAGCGCACCCTGTTTGATTTCTTTATTTTACAAAAGTTGTCAATTTACACAAATAAAAGTATACCATTTATAGATTTGGTTGATTTTAGTCTTATCTGTATCTGAGTATTTTAGGTTCTTTTCTCTGTTATAAGGAAAAACTGCAAGTGAATGCACCAGCGCACAGAGGGTTAAAGATGCAACATTCAATTTTACCTTTAGACTATAAATTTCGATTTAAAATTCAATATTGATTTTAGAACTGTTGGAATTATTTACAATATTTAATGCAACTGTAATTAAATTACCTAAAATGAACAGTAATCCCTTACCAGTGTTAATTTTGACAGGCATTTTTGATTTAGTCTTAGTCTTTATCTTGAGATGAAAATGCTCAATAGTCTTAGTCACATTTTAGTCATTTGAGTCTTTCGTAGTTTTAGTCGATGAAAAGTCATTGCATTTTTGTAAACTTTTAGCCATTACTTTTAGTCAAACTGCAGTTACCAACATTTATTTTGGTAGCTATTTTATATGTAGTCTTCAAACAAAAATAGTCATTAATTCTTATCTCTTTAGACCAAATCAATTAAGCTTATGAGAAATTTGAATCAAGGATTGAATTTGGAAAAACTTAAATGAACTATGACAATTTCATTTTTGGGTGAACTATCCCTTTAACAGTAGTGAAAAGGGAGCAACTTAAAAATTATAGTTGTTCATATATAATATATATACAGTGGGTACGGAAAGTATTCAGACCCCCTTAAATTTTTCACTCTTTGTTATATTGAAGCAATTTGCTAAAATCATTTAAGTTAATATTTTTTCCTCATTAATGTACACACAGCACCCCATATTGACAGAAAAACACAGAATTGTTGACATTTTTGCAGATTTATTAAAAAAGAAAAACTGAAGAAGTAAAGCGTGCGCGAGAGAGCACTTTTTTCTTGCGGCCATTTGTAAATTCTATGGGTCTGGCTTCCGGTCTCATCTGCGTCCAGCTATTTTTAGCTGTACAGAATGGCTCATTTTGCTGCTTGATAAGCACTTCTACCAGCGCGATTCTGCCTATCCCACCTTCACTAACTTTAAAGGGTTAGTTCACCCAAAAATGAAAATTCTGTCATTAATTACTCACCCTCATGTCGTTCCCTCCCATAGACAGCAAGGTAACTACCACGTTCAAGGTCCAGAAAAGTACCAAGATGATCGACAAAGTAGTCCGTGTGACATCAGTGGTTCAACTGTAAAGATACGAAGCTACGAGAATAGTTTTTTTGCGCAAAGAAAACAAAAATATTGACTTTTTTTCCACATTTTCGTCTTTACTGCGTCACCTGTGTGGACGCGCGTTCACAACAGTATCATGACGCGAGCGTGTGGCGGCGCTGACCCAGATCCGGCGTAATGACGTCATGGTCTCTTAAATTGTGTTCCCGAAGATGAACGAAGGTCTTACGGGTTTGGAACAACACGAGGGGGAGTAATTAATGACAGAATTTTCATTTTTGGGTGAACTAACCCTTTTAAGTTAATCGACAACGAATTGTGACTCCCGGGAAAAATGGGACGTCTGGTCACTTTATCCCTACCCCTTCGGGTGCTGAGGCCATTGTTTCAGATCGCTAGTTCGCATTTTGGTAGCCTATCCGTCCACTGCGGCTGCCATACTGAGACTAGATATGCAAACGCCCCTTATCCGATTACAATCCAATGACAGGGACGCACATTTTGAAGGACAAGACAGTAGCCTATAGGATGTATTTTGAATGTCCGGTAGTCCTCAAATAACATTATAGTCCCGTTTCGTCTTGTTAACGAAGACGCGGCATACATTTCGTCATAGTTTTTATCATCAGATATTAGTTTTAGCTCGTCAACGTCTCATCTTAGTCACAGAAAAAATGTTCGTTAATGAATATTTTTCATCTTCGTTGACGAAATTAACACTGTCCCTTACTTTACTTTTTCAGTGGATAAGTAATTTATTTACAGTAACGCGTTACACCCAACACTGTGTGCTCTTTTTCCACAGTCAAGAGGCGATTCCCAGCCTGTCATCTGTGAAACGAGATGAGCAAGACGACATGTACATTCTGCCTGCACTTCCTCCTGATGAGGACAGAGACAAGAGCAGGTGAGATCATGGGAAAAACACCAATAAGACATAATGATAATGAAGAAACATGTTTTCATTTGTGTCTTTGTAAATGCTGCTGTAGTTCAGAGGAGGAAAGAGATGGAGACGAATCACTGCAGACGTACAGCAGATTCCAGGTGAGATCAATCACATCCACAGGTTTTTATTTATTTATTTATTTATTTATTTATTTATACAGTGCTTTTCACAATACAATTTGTTTCAAAGCAGCTTTACAGAAAACCATGATTAAGGTTTATAATATCTTAATATCTTCATGCCTTTGTAGCGAATCAGCTCATGGGGAAATATGAATAATTAATCATAACTAGTTATAATTAATTATAAATATTTAGTCTTGGTGAATGGAAAGTCAAGGCCAGAGGCCTGGCACAAACTTAGGGTGTCCTGGAGCGTTGTAGCTCACATCTTCTCAGAACCTAACAGAACCACCGACTAG